GTGGGTGCAGGCACAGACGAGCCAGGCACCTGCACACACGCACACACACAGAGGAAGCCTCACCCAGATGACATGATGGGCACCCTCCTTCACCCTTGTTATTCACACTCGCACCTTCCCTCCAGTTCTCCCCACAGGTGAGGAACACACATGCACATACACACACAAAGCATCTTGTTCCTGCCTCTGTATCTTACAGAATACAAACCAACCTCCATCTCTGCAGGGCCCACACCTCGGATGTAGCTAACAGCTTCTTTCCACCTCAGGCTGAGTAGAGTAGAAGGGATACTCTGCCTTTTTCTCCACATGGAAAACAACTCCCTGAGATTGGTTCCATACTCATTGTCAGTTGGTGGGGATGCAGAGTCCCCCCCACCAACTCCCTTACCCTTGTGCCTCAGTTCAGGGTGAGGGAGTTTTAGCAAAAGCTAGTCTCATAGCAGCCTAGGCACAATACAGGCCTGTTTCCCCACGGGAAAACCTCTCCGTGGGCGTGGTCCCGAGTGCCACTCGCTCCCCATTGGTTTTCCATGAGGAGGCTGAGCTCCATTTCCACACCACACAAAGCGGTTCCCTAAATATTCTAACAGAGATTTTCAGAAGACTACATAGTATATGATTCCATTTAAAAAATGTCCAGTTCTGACCAGTGTAGCTCAGCTGGTTGGTTGTCTCCCCACAAAGTTAGAACTTGTTGGTTTGATTCCCGGTCAGGGCACGTGCCTGGGCTGAGGGTTCTGTCTGGTCGGGGCACGTACAAGAGGCAACCGGTTGATGTTTCTCTCTCACATCAGTGTTTCTCCCCCTCTCTTTCTCCCTCCTTTCCCCTTTCTCTAAAAATAAATAAATACAATCTTTAGAAGAAATGTCCAGAAAAGGCACATGTACTTAGAGAGGCAGAAAGAGGCCAGTAGAGGCTGGGGTGAGAATGGGTATTGAGTGCAGAGGCCTGAGGAAACTTTCTGAGGGTGTGGAAATGTTCTAAAGTTGCCTGAATAACACACCATACTTTCCTTACCCCCTCAGCCGTCAGTGACATCAGTGGGCACTTAGGTCGTATCCATGTCTTGGCTATTGTAAATAATGCCACAGTGAACGTGGGGGGCACACATGTCTTTTCGAGATAGTTCTTCATTTCCTTTGGATAAAAGCCCAGATGTGGAATTTATGGGTCATACAGTAGTTCTATTTTAATTTTTTGAGGAACCTCCATACTGTTTTGCATCGTGGCTGCGCCGGTTTTCAGTCCCACCAACAGCGCACACAGATGCCTTTTTCTCTGCATCCTCACTGACTCGTTAACTCCTCTGTTTTTGACAGCAGCCGTTCGAACAGGTGTGAGGCGGTACCTCACTGTGGGTTTGATTTGCATGTTTATGATGATGATTAATGTTGAGCACTTTCCATGTACCTGTTAGCCACCCGTAGGTTTTCTTTGGGAAAATGTCTATTTTAGATCCTCTGTTTATTTTAAAATCAGGTTTTTTTTCCTATTGAGTTCTATGAGTGCTTTATACACATTAGATATTAATCCCTTACCAGATATATGATTTGCAAATATTTCCTCCCATTCCATTGATTACCTTTTCATTTTGCCAATGGTTCCCTTGGCTGTTTACCTTTCCATGTTTAATGACCAAAAACTGGTCAGAATGTGTGGCACAACATGTCCAAACTCTGGCCATCAGGCAGCACAGGACAGTGAGCCTGGAAGGACTGAAAACAAGCCAGGCGAGCTCCTCCTTCGCCCCGTCCCCGGAGTGTCCTCTGCGGGGCTTCCGGGCTGCAGGCAGGCGGAACCCAGGCTGAGCCTGTCTGTCTCGGAGTGAGGAGGCTGAATGGGGAGTCCAGGGAAGTCTCCGTAGCTGGTTTGTGGGGGAGAGCACAGGCTAGGAGAGAGAGCTCGGGAATGTTCAGAGGGTTTCCGGTGACAGTCAGCTGAGGACTGAGCAGCACACAGATGTGAGGAAACTCTCTGAGGTGGGAAAAGAACCATCTAAAAGGGGCGGAGCAAACAGTCCTCAGTACTCACTCACTCAAGGGTGAAAACAGCGCCTGTTCCCTCCAGCCAAAGTGGGAAACCTCACAACGCAAGGGGCACTGGGTAACGTACAGCAAAGGGGTCTGCCTTAGTGGTGGGGAAAGTCAGCCTCAGACTAGAGGCTGCTCAGGTCCCACATAACAAAGACTTAAAAAGATCTTTAAGATCAAACTGTTTCTCGGTAAATAAATTGCACCCCAGAACAGAGCTCAAGAAGATTTACTGAAATGGAAAAATATCCAGGATACAACGAGGTAAAATTCACAATATTTGGCATCCAGTAAAAAAACTACACTAGGGATAGAAGCAGAAAAATATGACCCATAGTGAGGAAAAAAAATGGCAACTAACCCCAAATTACTTAGATAAAAAATTAGTAGACAAGTGCATTAAGAGTCATCATAATTATTCGATATGTTTAAGAAGTTAGAAGAAAAATTGAATATGGAAGGTTTTTTAAGACTCAGATTGAATTTCTAGAGATGTAAACTACAAAGAAAAATACACCACGGAAGAAAAAGTTAGTAAATTTGACTGCAGAGCAGCAGAAACTACCCAGAGTGAATGAGCGAGTAGAAGGATGGGGAACGAACAGAGCACGAGCGGGGCCACTCCCAGCACCGGACGTGCAGGGCGGCCGGGACCCCTGCGGGAAGGCAGAGGGCGGGATAAATATTTGAGAAAATAATAGTTGAAACATTTTCAAACTTGATGAAAACTGTAAAGCCACAGACACGAAAAGCTCAACAAATCTCAAGCACGAGGAAAATGAATAAAACGATAGCGAGGTGCATCATAATGAAATAGCTTAAAGCCAATGATAAAAGAGAAAATCTGAAAAGTAATCAGAATAGAAAAAGACACATGACGTAGAGAGAAACCAAGATAAGGATAACTGCAGATTTCCCATCGGAAACGATGCAAGGGAGAAGACACTAGAGTAACATTTTTTTAAGTGTGGGGAACAATTCTAACCCAATCAGACTGTGTATTATCTCTGGTCAGAATTCTTTTTAGAGAGAGAAAGACGAGGAGAAAGAGAGGGAGAGAGAGATCGATCAATTTGTCATTCCACTTACTGATGCATTCATCAGTTGATTCTTGTACGTGCCCTGACGGGGGATCAAACCTTCAGGACAATGCTCTAACCAACTGAGCTGCCCGTCCAGGGCTCTGCTCAGAATTCTTTAGTGATTTTCTGTCTAAAGGCCTGATTGCCCTGGGCACTGACTCTGAGACAGAGATGACCCTGCAGTACAGACTCCAGGCTGGGAGGACCCGCATCTGTAGAGGAGTGAAGAGAGCAGTACCAGGTGGAGGGGGAGTTGAGTTCTGGCGCGGTCTCAGTAGAAGCTGACCCTACCAAGAGTTTTGAAAGTGAACGTGCCTTCAGAGCTGTCCCAAGTTAGGGGAAGAGGGTGAGGCCTTTGTACTCACAGGTTGATCATCGAGCAGGTACGGATGCCCCAGGAAGGGCACGTGGTCTTGGATGAGGCATCTCCTCAGGCCGGGGGGGGGCGGGATTCCCAGAGAAGGAATCCGCCCAGACTCTGACGGGGCATCTGGACGGCTCACCACACTGTCCACTGTACTTTCCCAAATGAAGTGGAGGAAATCCCATCATAGCACAGCACAAAAGGCCCTTCGTTTTGCACATGCCTATGCCCAGCTCACCTCAGGCTGTCCTCTTAGCCAGGAAACCTCTCTCACCCTCTGCCTGGGCTCCCTTTATCTGTTGGAAAACTCCTCCAAATCCCTCAGATTACAGCTGAAAGCGCCTCCTCTGAGATGCCTCCTCTGCCTGTTCTCACAGACTCAGGGACACTTCCTCCCAGCAGAGTGGTGAGGAGCATGGACTCCGAAGCCAGGGTTCGAATCCCAGCTCTGCCACCCGCTAGCTGGGTAACCTAAGGCGAATTACTCAGATTTCTGTAACTTCGTTTCTTCATCTGTAAAATAAGTACAACATTAGCACTGCTACCTCGTAGGGTTGTTAAGAGAACTGAACGAGTGGATATGTGTGGAGTCAGAATAGTGAGTGGCAAGAGCAAATAGTCACTGCTATCATTATCGTTGTCGTTGTAATCGGAAGTGTCCAGTACGCTTTACTGAAGGCATGGGCACGGGAGGAAGGACCTGAGAGAGACAAAGGACAAAATATGTTCAGTGAACGCTGCGCGATCCAGAATGGCAGGAGCAGCCTCTGCGGGCCTGTGCTGGGCAGAATCGTTAATGTCACAGTAAAGAGCGTGCAGCTTATTCGGTGAGCAGTGAGAGACAATGGCAGAGAGAGAGAGGGAGGCTGAGCTAGTGAGCTAAGAGATGAGGTGTCTGTGGGGTGGGGTGAGAGTTACAGGTGAGGGGTGGGGTTAGAGGAACTGGGGTGGGAACAGATGGCAGGTGAGGGGAAATGAGTTTAGAGGAAAGTAACAGAACCATGGAGGGTGGAGTGGGGAATCAGCCGAGGCTGACGGGGACCGACGAGGAGTTACAGAAACATGCTGGGAGTAGAGAAGATAAACGGGCGATGGAGACAGGTGAGGTTTACGGAGACAGGTGAGGAGAGATGGGGCTCTGCTGGGGGACGGGGATCAAGTGAACGGTTGAGACCCGTGAAGAGATCCTAAGAGCTAGAACAGGACCGCGCCCGAGAGTCCTAGGGCTGCAGGAGTGCAGAGGGAGCAGAGTAGAATGTGATGTCAGAGAAAGGGTGGTGATGTAAGAGCCGGGGCGGTGGGGCGCTGATGTCAGGGCTGGTGCTGATGCTGGCGGCGCAGTGCATTGTGGGCAGCTCCCCGCTCTGCCGCTGTCGCCGCCGCCGCCCGAGGAGGATCGGGGCCGGGCCGGGCCGGGATGGTCCCGGTCGGGAGGCCGCCGCCGGAGGGAGCGGGCCGCCCAGCGCCGCACTGAGCCGCCCCCGCCCCCGCCCCGCCGCAGCCCCGGGGGATGCGCCGCCCCAAGCCGCTGCCTTCGCCGCCGCAGCGTCAGCCGCAGCGGGCCCAGAGCAGGTGAGGCGCGGCGGGGCGGGCGGGGGTCGGGGTCGGGGGTCGGGCGGGGGCTCCTTCTACGGCCTCGGCGGGCCTCGGCCTGGCTCCCCTCCCAGCGCAGCCTTCTCCAGCGCCCCCCCTGCTGCTGTCTCCACCCGGGCTGGGACGCCGGCCTACACATCCTGGGCCGCATCCGAGGCCTGGACCGGCTCCCTGCCCCCCACACAAGCCCACCCTCTCCCGCCTACGCTCCAGGGCTTTTGCTCCTCGCTCCTCACCTCAGTCCCTGTCCGTGAGGCTTCAATCTCCTGTCACTCCCGACAAGTCGTTTCCAGCTTTCTGCATAACCTCTCTCCCTTGTCCTCAGTCCCTCCATTTCTTCCACTAGCCTTCTTACCAACTACCTCACCCCTTCGACTGTGCCCAGAGCCCCCTCTCTTGGTCCTGGCTTCCTCATCTGCCACCGAGACCTCTCACCTGTCTCTATCTCACTCAACCCCCTCCTCCGATCCTGCCACCCCTGGTCCCTTCCATTCCCCTCTGCTCCCTCCCACACATCTTTCCACGTGTTCCCCTAACCCCTCACGGTCTCCTCCACCCCTCCTTACCTGGGCTCCCACATTCCCACACATACTTGGCTCACACCTTGCATAGTTACACATCAACACCTATGCTCACATGCTGTGAGAAGCTCCCAACGACTTAGATATGTTTCTGTCTGTCTGTCTCTCTCATCGTTAGCTCCTCGCTCTCAAACATGCAGGATCTGCCACGTTTCATAAAGACCTCCCCCAGGAGTCCTCTCTCTCTACGCACGCATGCCTTCGCACACCCAAACAAAGGGTTCTAAGGGGCAGTGACGGGGCGACCAAGTGCCTTGTGTTCATGGCATCCAGTCCTAGTCTGAGTTGAGTGTAGTCCTCTGAGGCAGAGAGTGGGAAGGAGAGTGAACAGGGAGAGGCAGGGAACCCTCGTTTATCCTCTTGCCTCCACTCTTTCTTTTTCCACCTCATCTGTTCCTTCTGGACTTGCCCACCTATAAAATGGGAGCAGCACCTAAATTTTTCTCATCAACCTGTAGAATCCACCATCACAGGGCTGGAAGGCTCACCGGAGCTCACCCAGTTCAGCTCTGGGAGGCTCCCTCCCCACTTGCTTCTTTTATCTTGTCCTCAACCTGTCCCCTCCATGTATATCCCAGAACGCCCCCCACCCCTGCCTCTCCCTTCATCTTGCGGTTGCCCTCTGGGCCTTGCAAACTCCTGCCCCACAGGCCACTTGGCAGAAGGAGCGCAGAGGCCCGAGGGATGGCCCCACAGCTCTGATACTCTGCAGTTGTGTGGACGGGAGGAAACAGTCAGCCGGGTCATTTGAAGAAATACAGAAAGAGTGCACGCCCTCTCCACATGTCCCTCATGGTGCACCGGGACCTGTCAGAGGCTGTTTTCATGCCTTCGCCATTCCACGCTGCTGCCTGTATTGGGAGCTCTGGGGAGTCCTCCCATCCCAGGGAAAGGCAGGTTTATGGAGTTCCCGTGGTACCCATCGAGGTCTTAGACACTTCCCTCCTCTCTCCCACCCCGGCAATCCCAGCCTGAGTGACTTCCTTCCATCTGTGACTCTCCAGGGTCATTGTGAGGGCAGTGCAGTGTGTTTATAAAAAGTGTGGTGGGGAAGAAAAGAAGAAAAGATCTTCATTCTGTTCGTGCACTGGGTTGGCAGAGAGCTCAAAATGCCATCTCTCCTGGCCCCTACCCACACACGTTATCACGTACTCAAACACGAAAACACGCACAAGCACCCACAGACACAGGTGTGCAGAAAGCCACAAAGACACACACAGACACATAGACACACAAAGACATATATACACACACAGAGACACATGTGTGCACACACTTGCATCTTTCTGAGTAACACTGGCTGGCCCCCAACCCTCGCAGCTGGGATACTCTCCCAGGTATCCAGCTCCTAAGGCAGCAGGAGCTGTGTTCTTTCTTGTTGGCTCCTGGGCAGACAGCAGAAAGGTGTGGTCGGAGGCTCTCTCCCCCCATGCCCACTCAGACCTGCTGCTCCCTGTCACTCCTCTGTTAGGCCGCTCCCACTCCCCTGCAGTCCCCAGGTCCTCCCAGTCCAGCCTGCCTCTCTCCAAGTGTCCATGGAGCTGCTGCTCTTTAAAATCCCTGTCTGGAGTGTGCTGCCTTACGTCCACTTCGCTGCCATCCTTGCTTGGTTGGGCTCACCACTGAGAATGGGTGTGCCTCTCAGCAGCTGCCTCCTCCTCACTCGCACCATCCTGAGGGGCTGTCGGATATCTCTTCATTCTCTGGTCATCGCTTCTCCCACGGCTGGTTAGCAGGTCTCTGTCACCCTGGTGTGCGTCTCCACGGGTCTCCCCTCTCCTAAGGCTCAGGTGCACAGCTCCCTGGCATTTTGTGGCACAGGGAAGGTGTGGGTGCCGAGGGCCACAGACCGAGTCACTCAGACTGGCCCTTCTTGGCCTAGGTCTCCCCAGTAGAAACAACCGTCCCAGTCTAGTGTGCTCCTTGGTTAGCAAGTCTCCCCCACGTTAGCTAGCATATGCCTCTTTGGGAAACCCTTTCCCCACAGACTGTGCATACGTCATTTTCCTCTCCGTTTTTCATCGATGTGTGTTGCTGGTTTCACATTTCCAGTTTGTATCTCCCTTGCTGTGGACAGTATTTGTCTTCTCTGACCTCCACGCCCATGCTTACACAATGCTTCCACCGTAACCCCTGGAGCATCTGTCTAGTGGGCCCGGGGAAGGATGCCCGCTAAAATGAAACTTCCCATCATCATACCTGCAAGGTGGTCCTGGCTCCGTGGCTCACCCTACTCACCGCCCCTCTGCACTCCCCCAGGTAGATGGCCCCCCCAGGACAGGCCCTGCGGACACCCCTCCCTCGGGCTGGCGGATGCAGTGCCTAGCGGCTGCTCTTAAGGACGAGACCAACATGAGCGGGGGAGGGGAGCAGGCCGACATCCTGCCGGCCAACTACGTGGTCAAGGATCGCTGGAAGGTGGTGAGTGAGTGACCCAGTGGGGCAGATGGAGAGGCCGTGGGAGGAGGGTATCTGGAAACCTGTAAAGACTGGTGCCTGCCGCGCACCTACCTTAACTGGGAGGTGCCCCTGAGCTTATTTGCATACTGCTTGCATGTTATTATTTTTGCCTACACTTGTGGACAACTGCTTTCTCCCAGTGTCCTCTCTCTAGCCCCGCCCTCTCTCACCCCTCTCCCAGCTAGGTCACGTTGGTGGGTCCCAGCCTGGAACAACTCCTGGTTGGTTGCCGGAGGAGCTGCAAGCTCAGTTGGGGGAGAAAGCGAGGTGGGGGAGGGGGCTCTTCCTCTGCCGGACCTTGGGGAAGGGCAATGAGAGAGCATGTGCCGCTCCGCTGCAGCAGAGGACGGAAAGGCTTGCGTTCCGGGAAAGAGGCCCTGCAGGCTGCTCCCACCGCAGCCGCACTCCATCTCCTCCATCCACCCTCCTCCCCTCACTGGTTGCTGCGGCAGGTGCAACAAGCCGAGACTCCATATCCCAGCGTGCCTAGCTCCTCAGCCCAGGACTTCAGTCTGCTGGACTGCTGGGAGTTGTAGTCTGAGTCTCCTGAGGGTTAGGGGATGGGTGGGAGGGGAACAAGTGAGGGATAGGAGAAAGGCAGTGTTTGGGGAGCAACAGCTACTGTAAATCAATTCTGCCTCATCCCCTTTCTTTCCGTCGTATAGGAGCTCTCTGCTTGCCTTTATCATAGTAGAAGCAGGCTGATGTGGGGCGGATTGTGGGGTGACTGTGTGAGCTGTGGGTTTGCACCTGGGTGGGGAGCTGGGAGGGAGAGAGGGACCATAGCATAGGTCTGATGTATACTGAGCCCGATTCTGTGTGTCTGTGCATGTGTGTGTGTGTGTGTGTGTTGTGGGGAGAGACTCAGCTCCTGGGATTCGCGGTTGAGAGAAGAGGGTTGAAAGAAGAGCGGGCCTGAAAGGAGTTGGATCTCCTTGGCAACAGCCACTCCACTGGGCAGGGATAGGGGCAAAGGTAGCACAGTAGGCAGAGATGTTTTTTTGAGGAGGACTGAGCTGGAGAGCTGAGGGTACAGGTTGTGAATATCTCAGAGGGGAACTTCTTGAGAGGGAGAATACTGGGAGACAGAGGTTGCAGAAGAAAAAGCCAGAACAGTAATCAAAGAAATGAAGATCTGATAAAGCAGTGGTCCCCAACCCTTTTGGCACCAGGGACCTGTTACCTGGAAGACAATTTTTCCATCTTCCAGGGTGGGGGTGGTGTGGGTAGAGGGAAAGGAGGCAGAGCTCAGGTGGTAATGTGAGGGGCATTACGCAGCTTCTGGCGCTGGCATCCTGGAGGCAGAAGGACATTGACACTGAAGGGGTGAGAAAAGGATTGTGTTCATGAGTTTGGGCTAGAACGTTCTAGTGTTTTTGAGGGAGGAAGTGGGAGATGAGCGGGAAGTGACAAGTGGAAGTTGGGGAGAGGGGACATGCATGCAATCTCTGCCGGTTTACCTCTCTTTACACTCACTGCTCGCTGACCCCACCCCGGAGAACTAGAAATGGTGGGGTGCCATATGCTTCTCCTCCTTCTCCCCAAGAGGGATGGGACAGAGACATGAGGAAGAGCTCAGGAACCAAGAACAAGTTGCCCAGAGATGGACTGTAGCCAGGAGAAGATGTGGGTCAGTTGGCATTAGGTGGAGTATTTAAAAACAATAACGTTTTCTTCTTGTTGAGGCAGGCTTCCCAGAACTAGACTAACAAACAATAATTGCACAGAAACTCAGCATTTGTTTTGAGCACTTACTATTGTCAGCCGCTGTGGAAAATGTCGATACCACTAGCCCCGTTTCACAGGTGTGGAAACAGAGGCACAGAGATGAGGTAACTTGCCAGGTTACCAGGACCGGTAGGTAGAACCAGACCTGTCTGATGGCTGGGTCAGCATCCTGCTTTCCAAGAATAAGCCCATTGAAGGGTCAGGACCAGGAGCCAATGGAGTCTTTGGGACCAGTGCCAGTTCAACCCTCTCATTTCCCAGAGGAGGAAAAGCAGAAGTAGAGCCTCAGAAATTTTAAGAAGCTCACCCTGTCACCCAGAGCTGGGCCAGAAACCCAGGCTTCCTTCTCCCTAAGTGCACACTGGTCCTATTGTGTCTCATTTCTCCTCCAGCTTAGGGCAGTCCTTGTGCAGGGGCCGGGGTCATGAGCAGGGTCCATGCTGGGGCAGGGCTGCATCAGGACTTTTGTGGGCCCTAGGCACTTCTCCTCCTGGGGCCCCTTCCTCAATAATAAAGCACTAAAAATTGTATTTTATTACCGCATTAGTATAAAGAGGGATACATTAATATATATTAAAAAATTTTTTACCTAGAAGTTAATTTTTTCTCCTTTTGATTTTAAAAGAAATTAAAACATTTTCATTGTCTTCTAAAAGTGTTATTATGGGCCTCGTCTCTGTGCCGGCCGTGTCCCAGGGACAAGGGCCCAGGGACAGGGGTGTGGAGTGTGTGGGTGGCTGCAGACGCCCCACCCTTCCCCCCAGGGTGGTCCTGTAACTGGTAGGTGGAGGGTAAGAAGGGGACAAAGGAAGGAAAAATCGGCTCTGTTTGGAAATGAAGGTGGTGGAGAAACACCCGTGGGGACCCTGGGAAATCGGGGAGTAGGCGTCAGAAATGTCTGGCTGCCCCAGCGCCCTTGCCATCATCCCCAGCAGGGATTTGGGAGCCTAGTAGATCTGAGCTTAGCTTACATCTCAGCCCTGACACTTTGAATCCCAGGGTGATCAACTGTTCCGCTAACATTGTGGTGTGGAGTGTGGGCTCTGCTTCGAATTGCCTGGGTTTGAATGACATCCAGCAGTGCTACTACTTACTAGCCGTGTGACCTGGGTCAAGGTTCTTAGCTCTTTGCCTCAGTTTTTCATCTGTAAAAAATAGTGACTCCTACGACCTTGTTCACCCGTGTTGTTGGGAACCTCTGGGGATGAACTGAGATGGTATCTGTGAGTCTGGAGCACAGAACCGCGATGCAGTGGTGGTTCCCCTCCCCCCCGCTCTTTCCTCCTCGCTGGCACACAGCAACCACAAAGGAGTTCAGAAACACTAAAAGCTCCCCTGAGTTTAGACGTCCCCAGAGGAAGACACGCCATCATGCCATTGCTTCCCCTGAGTCTGTGTCTGTCCCCTCCTGGTTCTAAAATTCTTCTAGAATTCTGACCTTCAACTTCTGTCGCAAGTAGAGGTGGACTCTGGTCTCTCACTCCCCCCCCGCCCCTCCCCCGCTCAGTCTCCTCCCTGGATGCAAGACACTTCCTCTTCAAGAGGGGCATCTTCAAGATCCCCTCCAGCCTTCCACTTCCCTTCTAAATCTTCCCTTCCCTCTTCTCCTAAAGTACTTTCAGTTGCCACCTGCTGGATACTCCCAGTCCCAGCTCTGTCCTGCCTCGTCCCTTCACTCCCACATTTCAACCACCAGTCAGTGTTCACTGGGCATCCAAGTACCGAGTAAATGCTAGGGGAGGACTCAGACATGCAGGAGGCTCTGAGTCCCGAGTCCGTCACAGGCTGGCTGATCAGAGCGGCCTCCATCCAATCATTAGCGAGACCAGCTGTGGTGGACCAGTTACAAGCCAGCGGGTCACCAGTGAGGCTCTGGAGGCCAGGTCCCCCATGAAGGGCAGGCCCCTGAGGAGGCCAGAATTGAGCCGTACATCTTTCTTAAATCAAAGGAGTCCCAACTTAGAACTCGGTACCTTCTCCCTTTCCCCCATCATCGCCAGCAGCACCCTCACCCTCCAAGACCGCTGGGCCTCTGACTTGACATGACTCTCATCCCTCCCATCACAGCTTTGCTCACCTCCCCTTGCTGCTTCTTCTGATTCTTCCTCCATCGCAGTTCCCTCCGCCTTTCCTCACCACCTGCCCTGGGAAGCTAGTGGAGGAGGACCCAGAGGTTAGATCTCCACAGCACTGCCCAGGAATAAACAGATTCTCTCCAAACCTACATTCCCACGTGCTCCCACAGTGTCCCCCCTGCTCCAGAAAGGAGGCTCGCCTTGGTTCTGGGCCTGCGACCGGGGTCTAGGGAGTGACATGAGCTTCAGGGGCAGGCAGGAGCAGTAAGCACCTTTTCCTGAGTCTCCTCCCCCAAAACTCCTTCCCACACGTACCCTGGTCACACCTTAGGGTTTTGCCAACTCCTTCCTGGAATCCACCTTGGAGCTGGCAGGGTCTGGGAATCAGTCTTCCTTGCAGGTTGCTCAGTCTAGGCAGGGGAGTGGGATGAGCATGACAGTCACTGTCTTTCGGGAGAAGAAAAGTTTCACGAGAGCCCGTTATCTCTCCATAGTCCTGTATAACCTTTTCTCTATGTCTGTATGAAGTCATGTGTTTCATACTGGGTCCCACTGCTCACTCTAGCATTTGGCCGTGTGTGTGTGTGTGTGTGTGTGTGTGTGTGTGTGTGGTTGTCCACCTATGGCTGAGCTCTCTGTCTCCAGTGCTAATAAAGGAGGTGGGGGCTCTGGTGGGTGGGGCAAAGAAGGGAGACATGAGGCCCTCCCCTTGAAGGATGGCCTCTGCCCCCACCCGTGAACGATATGGCCCCTCAGCAGTGGGTGGGATGAGGAGCTGCTCAGTCTGATCCCTGTGTCCCCTATTCTCCCCCCTGTCTCTGTAGCTGAAAAAGATTGGGGGCGGGGGCTTTGGTGAGATCTACGAGGCCATGGACCTGCTGACCAGGGAGAATGTGGCCCTCAAGGTGGAGTCAGCCCAGCAGCCCAAGCAGGTCCTCAAGATGGAGGTGGCTGTGCTCAAAAAGCTGCAAGGTTCGGGCCGAGGGCGGGGGGGGGGGGGGGGTAGGAGGGACGAAGTGTTGGAGCCAGGGGCCAGGAGAGGTGATGGGGTAAGAAACGGGGGAGGAGGGGGGTGTGTTGGAGGGGAGGGGCCACGGGGGAGGTGATGGAGGAGGTGAGATGGGACCAGAGTCTAAGAGCAATGATGGGGGTAAGTGCAGGGGTAGGGGCAGGCAAAGTGGTCATGGGGCCACAGCGGGGGGGGGGGGCCAAGGAACCCAAGTGCACCCAGAGCCCCCCCCTAGGGCTGGACGTGAGGGTGGAGGAGTAGGAGTTGGGAGACCCCTGTCTATGCCCCTCAGGGAAGGACCACGTGTGCCGGTTCATTGGCTGTGGCCGGAACGAGAAGTTTAATTACGTGGTGATGCAGCTCCAGGTGAGTCCCCCCCCCCTCGCACCCAAGAACGTGGGCGGGACTCCTGCCATGGGGAGTGGGGATGGGAGACTGGGGCCCCGGGAGGAGCAGGGAGTGGGCCCAGGACTTCGGGGGCGGGGGTGGGGGGAGGCTGGGCAGATAGTCACAGAGGTGGCCGCCCTCCTCTCATCCCCAGGGCCGGAACCTGGCTGACCTGCGCCGCAGTCAGCCTCGAGGCACCTTCACGCTGAGCACCACGCTGCGGCTGGGCAAGCAGATCCTGGAGTCCATTGAGGCCATCCACTCCGTGGGCTTCCTGCACCGAGACATCAAGCCGGTGAGGGCCGCCCCGCGCACCCGCCCCAAGCACCACCCCCAGCGGACACCTTCCCTCCCTTTCCGGGTCCCTGCTCTCTTCTCCAGAACAGTTTCTTCTCTGTCCCAATCCTCGTCTCTGCCTCACTTGCTTCTCAGGAGCTCACGCCCCTGTCCGCCCCTTGGCCATGCCCCTGCCCTCTCCTGTATGACACTTTCTTTTTCCTCACCCGACCTGAACAGTCCTTCAACCTCAAAAGGTGCAGGGAGTGGAGAAGTACCAGGGGACTGAGGAAAGGGGCCTGGGGCTTCGTTAGAAATTTCAAATAGCTAGTTTTGTGACATCTTGGATCTTGGTTGGAAAAAACCACCAATCTTAAGGGATAAAAACTGGGGCCCAGAGAGGTTCGTTGAATGGCCCAAGGTCACACAGCAAGAACAATGTAGGTGTCCTGCTGCCTTAGTTAGACTAAGCCTCACTGCCCTGCCTGGGAGTCCCAAGGATTTAGAGCCAGGCAGACCTTGTTTCAGCTGGGTGGTCAATTGCTGTGTGATCTTGGACAAGCCCCCTCAGCTCTTTGACCTTCGGCCTCCTCATCTCTAATCTGAGGGTAATCTCGGGAGGGTCCCTCACCCCCTCTCTTGGCGCCCCTTGAGGAGAGCCGGGCAGGGCCGGAGCCCACGTTCACGGCCACGGCCACCGTCTTCCCGCAGTCGAACTTCGCCATGGGCAGGCTGCCGTCCACCTACCGGAAGTGCTACATGCTGGACTTCGGGCTGGCGCGGCAGTACACCAACACCACGGGGGACGTGCGGCCCGTGAGTACCGCCGGCGGGCGTGCTGGCCTCCGGGGCCCTGGTCCGGCTTCCCCCACAGCTGCCTGACGGCCGGCGGGTGTTCAGTGTGAGCAACCGGCCCCTGCCCGCAGTCCGCCCGCCCCCTCCCTCCCTCGGGGGGGCCCTTGGTGGATGCCGCATGCACTCTGCCATCTGTCTGCCCGCCACGGTCAAGGCCTCAAGGACGGACGCAGGGTCGGGAGGCACGTTTAGGACTGGGTCGGTGTGTCAGGTTTGTTCCTGACCAGGCCAACGTGGCGGGGGGTGCCTCGGGGGGCGCGGGGTTGGCAGGGTTAAAGTAGGCAGAGGTAGGCTTGGTAAGCGGGGGTGGAAATGCGGCCAAGGTCAGGGGCAGCCCGTGAGGTTCCTGGTGGTGGTCTCTCCTCTGCAGCCTCGGAATGTGGCCGGGTTTCGGGGGACTGTTCGCTACGCCTCAGTCAACGCCCATAAGAACCGGGTGAGTGCAGAGCCAGGACTGAGCCATGCGAGGGCGGGACAGGTGCAGGTCAGGGGCGGAGTGTGCTGCTGAGGGAGGGGGCGGCTCTGGAGGTGGGGAGACAAGTATGCGGCAGGGGCCGGGAGCTGCTGCTCCAGAGACCCGGACGGGCAGGAGGCTCTGCCCTTGACTTCCCTTCTTTGTTGTTTTCGGGGACCTGCTCCTCTGTGTTCCCAACACAGATCTCTGTGGGGTGAGAAAGCACACACAGAAGTCTTGACTGGGCTTGTGTGTGTGCTGGCGGGTTGGGGAGGGGGCCATGGCTTCAGGGAGACTTCGACTCTGCCCGTAGAAGCCTGGGCATCGGGCCTCTTGACCGATATACCTCAGTATATATATACCTCAGGGAAGGGCCTGAGAGCTGTGGCTGACCCCCCACCCCTCCATCCCCAGGAGATGGGCCGCCACGATGACCTGTGGTCCCTTTTCTACATGTTGGTGGAGTTTGCAGTGGGCCAGCTGCCCTGGAGGAAGATCAAGGACAAAGTGAGCCCTGTGTAGCTGGCTCTGAGGAGGTGGGAGGGGCTCGGGGGCCACCGGGGCTCCATCTACCTGTGTCTCTTGCCTCCAGGAGCAGGTAGGGATGATCAAGGAGAAGTATGAGCACCGGATGCTACTGAAGCACATGCCCTCCGAGTTCCACCTTTTCCTGGACCACATCGCCAGCCTCGACTACTTCACCAAGCCTGATTACCAGGTGGGAGCCTGCCGCCCGCCTGCATCCCCGGATACCTCTCTGTGGGCGATCGTCACCAGCAGCACCCTCCTGCCGAGGCCCTTCGTCCCTGCCGGCTTGGCCCTCGCCATCTCCCCCTCGTCTTCCAACTGCACGAAACTGTTTTGCACTCTTGTCGACAGTAGGCATAGTTAAGATTTATCAAGAGCTTACCCTGTTTTTAGTGCGTTTCATGCATTAATTCATTTAAGCTTCAAAACAAGCCTTTGGTGGTAATTGTGTGTTCCTTATGTTATTATTTTTAGCGTTTAATAATTCACTAAGCCAAGTGCTTTCAAGTACTTTTCACCGAAACTCTGCAGGAGTCCAGGCGGGGTGATTGTCCCCATGGCATAGATGAGGAGGCGGAGGCCGGACAGCCTGGCTGGGAGCAGGGCTGGGCCAGGCCCATCTTCGGGCCCCACGTCCGGTGCTCTTCACAAGCCACCATCCCCACACCCCACACCCCCACACTAGGGGGCCCGCTAACCCTGACCCAAGAGTGGGGCAGATGTCAGCATGTTCTTCCCAGGACCCACTGTGCGCCAGCATGGGGAGTGCAATGTTGGGCACACGGTAGGCACTCAGCAAAGTGGGTGCTGCAGCCGAGAGTGCCCACCCTGTGTTCTGGAGAGAGCAGAGTCAGAGTGGCGTGGTCGAGGCTCAGAGGACCTGCAACTGCCAGCCGCCTTCTGAGCACAGAACCCTGGTTGCTGGCAGAGATGCCTCACTCGGGCAGTAGGAGGCCATGCCCCGCCCCCATTCTTACCTCACCCTCGTGGGGGGCCCCAGATCAAAGGGCTGAGAGCACACCCTGTGCCATCCCTGTGCTGGCTGCTAGAGGGGTGGAGTTGGCAGGCAGGCCTGTGAGCAGTTCAGGCCGATGCAGTGTGCCCCGCCAAGGTGGGGAATCAGAGAGGGCTTCAGAGAGGGCTGACCGGTGGGTGAGTGGACTGACCGGTGCGGGCGGAGGAAGCTGCTGTGCACACCCGTGCCCCCAGGTGGTGGGGTTGGGAAGCTCCCAGTGGTTCGGGCTGCTGTAGCTACGGCTGAGATGACAAAAATGACAAAGGAGTCTGGGGATTGTAACCAGGGGACAGATATCAGGGGGCTTATGTTCAGCCAGTGGGGCTTAAACCAAGGTGATAATTTGCATGCTGATTTGCATATTGTGTGCATGTTTTCATTTAAAATCAATGTGCCCTTCTCCTTCCAATGCCTCCTCTTGGCCCACCCCTGTCCTGGAAGGTCCCTCTCTTCCCCTCGCAGTCCCAGCAACTGTCCCCTCCTCCTGGCTAGCCCCAGGGTCACCTCTCTGTCCTCCCACACCCTCACCCCCTGCAGTTGATCATGTCAGTGTTTGAGAACAGCATGAAGGAGCGGGGCATTGCCGAGAATGAGGCCTTTGACTGGGAGAAGGCGGGCACCGATGCCCTCCTGTCCACGAGCACCTCTACCCCACCCCAGCAGAACACCCGGCAGACGGCAGCCATGTTTGGGTGAGTCTGGGGAGGGGCAATGGCGGGTGTGGGGGGAACCATATGACCTCTGCCTGGAGGTGTCTCCCTAGAATCCAGCTCTCTACTCCTCTTCCTACCTGAACACACCTGTCCATCTGGCCTATTCTTGGTGTTCTACAGTGGAGTTCTCAAACCCCAGGAAGTTCTGCTCCATCTGCACTCTCGGTCTGGGCATGGAATGGGGTCCTCATTTGGAGCTATTGACCTTAGTGGGCATCAGGAAGCCCTGGTGAAATGGCCTGAGCCCCACAGTTTATTTCTCCATGTTCAAGGGCATTCATTTAGCAAACATGTCTGAGCCCTGCCACTAGGGGCATGGAGACAAATGCGCAGCCCCTGCCTGCCATGTGCTCTCAATTGAGTCTAGGGTATTTGTAATCCACGGGTCAGCAAAGTCAGAACCAGGTGACAAGCACAAAGACAGAGGTGGCTGGTGTAAGAAGGGGCTCCCTGCCCAACCCCAGGAGCAAGCCGGGGAGAGACACAGGCAGGGGCTTCAGGTACACATTTGGGAAGGAACCTCAATAGGACTAGTCAGCACATCATGGTGCCCAGTTCTGTAAAGATATTGCTCAAGGAGTTCCAAAGGGACTCTTCTCCTTCGACCCAGTCCTGGTGTAAAGGAAGCCAACCAGTGGACTGCAGTGGGATCTCTTAAACAGAGCTAGGTGGTATTGCACCCGTCCCGGCAGCCACGTCTTTCTACGGCCCTCTGCCAACCCAAGGATGGTCTTGTCTCAGGTTTTATGAGCTGCAGTGCTGGTAGGCCCAGGGACACCCCCACCCTTGCTGGGGCCTCCCCTGTGCCCACGTCTGTTGGTGGCGGTGGCCTTCAGGGCTGTGCTGGTAGGAGACTGCACCCTGCCAGCTTTGCCCATCACCCCCCTCTTGACCTCTCCAGGGTGGTCAATGTGACGCCAGTGCCTGGAGACCTGCTCCGGGAGAACACTGAGGACGTGCTGCAGGGCGAGCACCTGAGTGACCAGGAGAACGCGCCCCCAATTCTGCCTGGGCGGCCACCTGAGGGGCTGGGCCCCGGCCTCCACCTTGCCCCCCACCCTGGGGGTCCTGAGGCTGAAGTCTGGGAGGAGACAGATGTCAACCGGAACAAACTTCGGATCAACATTGGCAAAGTAACTGCAGCCGGGGAGACGTGTGGGCGACTTCCCGACACGCAGCCCCTCCTCCATCCTCCCGAGCACCCTCTCCCCGCCCCAAGCCTGCTTGCCTTGCTTCCCTGCTTTGCCCCCTCTGAGTCACCAGCATTCTCCTGCTTGACCTCCCTTTGTCTCCATCCTGAGAAAACCCATGACCAACTCACAGGACTCCCCTCTCCCACAGACGCCCTGCATGGTGGAAGAGGAGCAGAACCGAGGTGTGGGGGTCCCCAGCTCCCCAGTGCGTGCCCCACCAGACTCACCGACAACCCCAGTCCGTTCTCTGCGCTACCGGAGGGTCAACAGCCCTGAGTCAGAGAGGCTCTCCACTGCGGATGGGCGGGCAGAGCTCCACGAGAGGAGGTGTGTCAGGGGCCGAGGGGCGGTTGAGGCCCCCGGGTCCCCTCTATGTGGCTGGTCTGGAGGAAAGGTCAGAGCTGGGGCAGAGGCAGTGTCAGGGCCTGGAGAAGGGACGGGTAAGCCGAGGTCCCACTTTGTGCCATGAAGGGATGTGGAGGAAGGAAGAGGCCGCAGGAGGGGCAGGCTGGGTCCCCAGGCCCAGGAGCGAGTTAGTAGGTGGATGTCCTTCCAGAACCTCTTTCTCTAGAGACTAATTACAGTTGCCTCAGAGAGCTGACTGGGTTCCCTTCAGCTTCTGAGGAGGGGCGTGAGAGGGGTTCAGGGAGTGCTCAGGCTGAGGAGGGGATAGACCAAGTCTTGGGGATCAGGACTCAGGGATCTGAATGTCAGGGAGGGGACCTGGTTGATGGGAGTAAGTGTTGGAGAGTTTAGAGCTAAGATGAACCTTGGATGGCCAATGGCAGGCAGGGACCAGGGCCGGACCTGTGGGTAGGACAACCTCAGGTGGAAGAGAGATGTCCCTGCCGTCCTTGGCTTTGGGTGGTGCTTCACCACACAACAGGGCTGAGGTCTTCTCTGCACCAGGAAGGGGATCTCTTCCCTGGGCCCAGCTCTGGGCGGGGGGTTGCGGGAGGGGTCCCGTCTACACACAGGCAGTGTAGTTCTTCATGCCCCAGCTCAGCCATGGCCCCGCCTCTGGGTTCTGCCCCCAACTACACTACACCTCCCAAATGGGTCACAGTGTTCCTTTGAGGTGTGGAGCCGCCTGAGATGGGGGTGCTATCCCAGTCCCTGTGGTGACCTGGGACAGAGAGGTGATGCGGACCCTGTCTTCGGGGAGCCGGCAGCTCTTACACTCACTCTCACACGATCACACAGGTCGGCCTGCATTTTCCTCTGTGGCAGCCTGGAGGGTTCTGGAAATGGGAGGAAATGACAGCAGGCAGTTTGGAAGGGACACGGGTGCAGAAGAGAGGTGGGAAATGCCCTGAACAAAAACAGTCCTGAAGGACAAGTTGGTTTGGCTCAGAGCGAACCCTTGCTTCAGAGATGGTGGTAAAGGAGGGAGCTGAGCAGAGGTTTTCCTGACAGTTTTCAGGGTGTCATAGGCGGGCAGATGGGTTTGGGGGGCTCTGGGGCACTGGGCAGTGGGGGAAGTATGGAGCAGGTGGCCTTCCCCACCGCGCCCTCAGCGCCCACTCCCCTCCTCACCGCTGATCTTCAGCCCTCTCCTCCCTGCGTGCCCTTCCTCTCCTCTCAGTCGGCAGAACTCAGCTCTCAGGAAAGGCAGTGGCCTCAGCCAGTTGCATGGGAGCGTGCGTGTCAGACCCTGAGTGCCTTCCTCGGGGTGTGTTTATTTTAAGCCTTAGTAACAAATCAATAAAGATACTGCGCTGATCTGGTGGTCCCGTGTGGGCCCGGATGGCAGTATGCTGAGCGAGCCCCACAGGCACTTCAGGCCTGCGCCGCCCCCTCTCACCGCCCGCGCGGAGGGAGAGCGAGAGGCAGTCCTCTGCCCGCTGCCCGCAGGCCGAGTGTGAGGGTGTGCACACCCCAGAGGAGCTGAGCCTCCACGGTTCTCATGGGGGCTCCCCAGGCGTTTGGGGGAGGGCAGTTTTTCCTTCCGTAGTGGCCTGTCCTCCTCACACTGGGGCCAGTGCACTGTGGTTGAGAAACTCTGGAAGTAATGTGAGAGTCCCAGCACAGTTGAAGGTAACAACGAAAGAGACGCCCCACGCCGGGATGCGTGCCCCAGAAGTGAGCAGGCAGATGGGCCCCATTCCCCACCTGGCAGAGCCCCCAGCCCCTGGGGCAGACAGAGAAACATGCATGTGCTCTGCTCTGGGGTGAGAGGCAACATGGGGAGCACCGGGAAGGCAAACCAACCCCTGTGGAGGACAGAAAGCCCCCCCCCACCCCAGGAGGTGACATCTGAGCGGAGGTGGACAGCAAAGGGTAGATGGATGGACCTTGTGGAGGGAACAGAAGGAGCAAAGGCACAGAGGTGTGAGCGCGTGGGCAGTCTGGGGGAAGCGTGAGAATGGGCCTGGCCAGGAGGGTGAGGAGGGGCCAGGGACTGGCAGCCGAGGACCTCGAGTGCCAAAGTATAGAACGTGGACTTAGTCTTTGGGGCCGGAGGCCACTGGAATTTGCTGAAGGTTGTGAAACCAGACAGGCAGGGCTGGAGGGTGGTAGTAGAAGAGGCTAGAAAAACCATCAGCAAACTCAAGGGCAGGCGGCCGTTGGCCCTGGCTGGAGGGAGCTCCTGACGGGGTGTGAGCACTGGACAGGAGAACAGTGAGTTGGCTTTAGCAAGACTCAGTTCCCTGTGGGTGGTCTGGCAGAGAGTGTTCCTTGAGCACAGGAACCAGATTTTATTTCCCGCACGTTTATATCCCTGGAACTCAGCATTCGAGAATGTGTTGAATGAATGAATGAGATTTTTACAGGGATTGGGTGTGGAGGGTGACAATGGTCAGGAGGGTCCAGGTGTCACGGTGGCCCGCCACCTGCGCGGGGTCTTTGGGGGTCCAGAGAACCTGGGCCCTGAGCCCCACCTGGAATGGCTTTGCAGGTCACGCATGGACCTGCCCGGCTCACCCTCACGCCAGGCCTGCTCCTCGCAGCCGGCCCAGATGCTGTCAGTGGACACTGGCCAGGCGGACCGGCAGGCCAGCGGCCGCATGGACGTGTCGGCCTCCGTGGAGCAGGAGGCCCTGAGCAACGCTTTCCGCTCCGTGCCACTGGCCGAGGAGGAGGACTTCGACAGCAAGGAGTGGGTCATCATTGACAAGGAGACAGAGCTCAAGGACTTCCCCCCAGGGGCCGAGCCCAGCACATCAGGCACCACGGACGAGGAGCCCGAGGAGCTGCGGCCCCTGCCTGAGGAGGGCGAGGAGCGGCGGCGGCCGGGGCCAGAGCCCACTGTCCGGCCCCGGGGGCGCAGCATGCAGACACTGGCTGAGGAGGACCCACGGCAGACGCCATTCCAGCCCTTACAACCTCAGCTGAGCCAGGCCGATGGCCGGTCAGAGACTTCGCAGCCCCCCACACCCGGCAGCCCTTTCCACTCACCCCTGCACTCGGGACCTCGCCCTCGACGGAGAGAGTCGGATCCCACTGGCCCTCAGAGACAGGTAAGGTTGGATTTGCTCCCCACCCTCCACCCTGGACACCCCCAGTTCTGGTGTGGGAGCCTGGGGTGCTCCCCATGTGCCCCTCGGGGGCCGTGGACCAGCCACCGGCTGCACGCTGTGAGGAAGACAGATGGGTTTAAGGGCCTGGAGTTATGCTTGGGGGGCAGGCGAGGTTCCCGGAGGAAGTCCCCTCCAAGTTCCGAGTTGAGTCTTGCATTATGGGTAGTGTCACCCCGGTGACAAAGCAGGAGAAAGGCCTCCTAGGCCGAGAGGACAACATGTGCAAAGGCCCGGAGGTGGCAATCAGAAAACACTGTGCTGATTGCATGTTGCAGCAGGTGAGGCTGCGAGGTAGGTCCTGGGCCCCATCCCGGAGGGCCTTGGGGCTAAGCTAAGGGGCTGGGACTTGATACAAAAGACTGGTGAGCTACTGAAGTCTTTTAAATAGCGGTACAACGTGCTTACATTGGTTCTTTTGAGTGATCCCTCTGGCTGCTGTGTGGAAAGTGGATTGGAGGGGCACAGCACTCTAAGTGGGAAGGTCACATGGCCGGCACCAGCAGGAGGGTGCCCTGGTGGCTTGGATGAGGGTGGGGGCTCTGGATATAGGGCAAGGTGGGTGGAGCCAGGAGGTGCGGGGGGGGGGGAAGCGAGGGGGGGGCTGTGACAGACTGGAGGGGGCCTCAGCTGATGCCCAGCATTCTGGCTGGATGGCAGTGCTGTCACTGAATGGTTTGAAGGGAACATGGACTCAGATTGAACACAATGACCTTGTGATACTGTGGGGTGTTCACATCGAGGCCTCAGTGCTCAGGAGAGGCTTCAGCTGTAGACATGCACTTGGGAGCCATGGAAGCCGCAGAAGTGGGTGATGTCACCCAAGACAGCTGTGTAGGGTGGGGAGAGTCAAGGGTGAGGGCGGAACCAGGAAATGCTCACTTTCGGAGAGAAGGAGAGAGAAAGGAGCCCTTGAGAAACTGAGAAAGAGGGGCCAAAGCGTAGGAGGAGCACCCGGAGAGAGGGGTCCCAGCAACCAGGGAAGGGGTGGCTGAAGGGGGTGAGGGCAGCAGGGAGGGGCAGGGGAGTTTCCTGCGGGTGCAACAGGCTCCAGGTGGGAGGGGCACCCTGAAGCCAGGATGGATGGACCGCAGTGATGGGGAGCAATGGAGCCAGGGTTGGAGGGGTCCTAGGCTGGGCTCAGGGACGGGCGTATTGGGGACCTAGTTAGGCTGCAGTGGCACCTTCTCATATGGGAGGACTGAGGGACAAGGCTGGAAGGCGGGGGTTGGAGGGGTGCCAGACGGTGGCCCGATTGTGAATGCCAGGCTGAGGATCTGCGCATGTCTCGCGGTATTTTGGTCGCTTTCTCTGGCAAGGACAGGATGTCAGAATAGGCAGAAGGCCACTAGCCTGGTCTGGCTTCTCTGCGTTGGGAAGTGGGATAATCTCTGATCCAGGAGGTGGCACCGACTCTTACCCTGAATGGTGCTGAATGGGGCCCATGTTCTCTCAGAGAGGTTGGGGAGAGCCCCGGAGGGGATGCTGGAGGGCTCAGGGACTGTGCTTTGCTTACTTTATCGCACCCCATTGGAGACAAGCCCCCAGGTGGCTCTGGAAGACGCTGAGGTGCAGGGCCAGGCCAGATGTGCTCGGATTGGGAGGCCCAACCCGGGAGCGTGCAGCTGCCCTGGAGAAGGGCAGCTCCAGGCAGGACTGTATTCAGACCCCATCCCTGTCTGTGTCTAGAAGAGAGGACCTGAGTTGAGATCTTGAGATGTGTGCATCCTGGCCTTGCCCTGGATTCTGGAAAATTGGTGGCTCAAAAAGGGGATCCCGTGGGGCCTTACCCCCAGAGGTCCAAGCCAGCCTGAGCTGGAGACTTGCCTGGGACAGGGTGCGGGCTGGCACGGCTGTGTTGCCGACCCAGACATTGTTCCCCAGGACCTGCTGCTCTCTGCGGGGAGCAGCAGGAGCAAGATCTGTCTGGGGCTCCCCCACTGCCCTCTCATTGGTTCACTTGTTCACTCACTCACTCATTCATTCCACACCTACTGAGCATCTACTCTGGGCTGTGCACCCGAGGCATCAGAAATCATATGCGCAACATGTGGTGCCCCCAGGAAGTGCAGATTCTGGGAAGGAGCCAGACAGTGGTGGCACAGGGCAGACAGGAAGCCCAGAATTAAAGGTGGAGGCCCGGGCTCTGGCTCTGGGCTCTGCCACTCCCTCCCTGGTGACCATGCCAGTTGGGCCTCAGAGCGAGGGAGCTGAGCTTGTGGTTCCCCCCTGTGTCCTGGGAGTCAGCCTCACGTTGGGGAGCTCTGTCTGGGGGGTGAGGAGAGAGATTTAGGGGAGCAGACACAGGCCTATTGTACAGTGGGTTAGAGCTGAGCCAATTTCTGCTTGTGACCCGGGCAGGCACTGCCCGTGTCCATGAGCTATGGCAAATGTATCTGGAGGGGGTAGCGGGGGTTGTAGGTGTTGGTTTTCTGACAGAAGTGAGGTTGATTAGCATTCTACAACTATGTGTGTGCATATCTGTGTCAGCTCAGCGAAGGAGTGCGCACCAGTGTGTGGGTGTGTCCACATGTGTGTGCATGCGTGTCGGGGCGCGGGCAGCACGTCCGTGTGAAGTTGGCCGTGGTCCGCGAGTGTGTAGAGAACCACAGGAGCCTGGCATGTCAAAGCTGGAAGGCGAATAACAATCCCTGTAGTAATTCTCGCAACAGTCCCGGCAGCTGTCACCGCTCCGAGCATTTTCGTACTTTGCACGTGTATTCCCCGCAGCCACGCTGTGATGGGCACCCCCACCTAAAAGATACAGAGGCGGAGGCTGGGAGGAACTCAGTCTGTAGCCTTGGGTCCCCGGCTGGTAAGTGGCAGAGCCAGGGTTGGAATCCAGGCACCTGTCTCCAGGGTCGTCCTCTGGGCCACTCAGTCTAGGCCTCCGTGTTTAGGAGAGGAGCGAGCCAGGTGTGAGCGAGCAGGTGGCTTGTGGGGGATCAAACCAGACTGGCATGTGTACGTGTGTGTGCGTGCATGCATATGTGCGTTTTGCGCACATGCACATGTGTTCACTCCTCTGGGCTGTGTCAGCAGGTGTGCTGTGGGCATGTCAGTGTGCACGGTGGCCTCTGTGTATGTCTGTATGTGAGCACATGGGGCGTGACGGGCTTAGCCAAGTACAGCTGGGTGGGGCAGAGACCTGCCTCCGTCAAGTGGAGGCGAAGGGGGAAAAATGGACTGGCATATTTTTTCCTTCTTTCTTTTTTTAAACATACAGATAGTCTTTTAAAAAAATTTTATTTATTTGTTTTTAGAGAGAGGGAAAGGGAGGGAAAAAAGAGGGAGAGAAACATCTATCAGCTGTTCTGACTGGGGACCTGACCCACAACCCAGACATGTGCCCTGATCAGGAATTGAACTGGCAACCTTTTGGTTTGCAGGCCAGCACACGACCCACTGAGCCACACCAGCTAGGGCTTCCTTTGTTGGCCTGGCAGGAGTCCTGAGCTTGTCTGTGTGGGGGCCCCAAACCTGGCTGCCTGCTGAAATCGGTTTGTGGAATTCCCTTCCCCACTCACCCCATAACTACATTAAGAGGCCCAAGGCAAGCAGGAAGTCTCTATGGGGACTCTCCACCCTGCCCCCTCTCTGCAAGGAATCCTTCCTAGACCTAGCTCGGTCTCCTCAGAGTCTGATGTGTGAACTTCCTTGGAACAGCTGTCCCTAAGGGTAGGAGTGCCTGCACCTCTGTCACCTCCCCGTCATAAGCGGGAATGGGAGAATGTGGGACCAGACATAAGTTTAGAACCAGGCACACCAGTAGTTCTTTGGTGTGCATGCCATTATACTTTAAGTGTTTTTCTTTACACATACCTCGTGTTCTTCTCTGGGAAGTTAAGGTGAAAACCGGAAGTGGTTGGGAGAGCTGGAGGGGGGGGAAGAGTGTCAGACGGTGTGTAGTTTGGAGAGTGGACGTGTGCCAGGTCACCTCTGGCAGATAACACAGCAGGTCAGCATTCCCAGAGCACGTGGACATTTGCTAGCAGCCGTGAGGACTGTTCCCTGCCAAGTGCCAGGCAGCACACTAGGGGCTGGGGGACAAAGACACACTAGGCTTCCAGTCCCGCTCCCTCGGAGCTCACAGTCAAGAAGGGTGGGGTGGAAATTCACAGTGTAGACATGGAGGTTCGTGATCAAGGGCCTCGGGGGAAAGAGCAGAGAACTCTTCTTTGCTAGGAACAGGGAGACTGCCTGTGAGGCTGGCGAGGTCTCACAGAGGTGGGAGCTCAGCTGGGTGTTGAAGACAATCACGGCAGGCACCTGGCCCGAAGGGGCAGGAGCCTGCTGTGAATCAACCCTGCCTGGCAGCTGCCCAGGCTCTGGCTGGGCTGTGCAACTGGAGCCGCCCACCTGCGCATGAGAGGGGCTGTGGCAGCTGTGGGTGCTTCTGTCCCTTGGTGACTCGAGGTGGGCCTTCCACCCCTTGCCCTCAGTGCAGACAGGACCAGTTCAGAAAGATCCTGGTCGTGGCCAAAAAGAAGCTGGAAGGAAAAGCAGGGTGAGGACCGAAACGATCTTATCACAATATTTTCTCTCCGCCTCTCCATGTTGGGTCCCTGTGCTTCCATTTGACACCAGCAAGGGGACACTGGGGGTGAGTGTCCATCCTCCTTCAGGCCCCCAGCAGCTGGCACAGCCAGTCCTCATGCTGCCCCACCCCCAAAAGCTATTTAAACTGGCCTCAGTCCCAGGAAAAGCTACGGGTCAGGACAGGAAAAGTCCGGTGACACTCAAGCCACCATTTCTGTCCCCACAGGCCTGGGATACGCAGTCCCATTTTCCCTCTTCCCGCTGAGGACGTGAGGGCAGGAGGGCTCGAGTCAGGGTTCTTCCTGAGGGCAGGGAGGTGCCCAGCCTCCTGCCACAGCCGCCCTGTGGCTGGGCCTTGGAGAGGACCGGGAAGAAGCCACTTAGAGGAACCGGTTTCTACTCGCCCCGCCTCTCGCCAGGCTGCATCCCTTCCCCGTTCTTCGGGGTGATTTAAAGGGGAATAAAGCAGCTTACATGACACAGCATTTACTCCCCGGCAGGTGCTGGTCTAAGTGCCCTGCATATTCTAACATCTAACCCTGGTAACCACCCTGTGAGGTAGGAGCTGTTGTTCTTCACCATTTCACAGAGGAAGCTGAGGCATGGAGAACTGAAGGAAGCAACTTGCTTGAGGTCTCCCAGGTAGTGAGTGGTGGAGCTGGGGTGCAACCATGGGCAGCTGGACTCCAGAGCTTTACCCTTGTCATAGTTGTCACTGAGACCCTGACCTGCCGCTGTGGTGGAGCGGGGATGCCAAGACAGAGGAGACTGTGCTCTCTAGATCTCATGAGGACACGGAGCGGCTGGGGAGACAGACCCCGCGCAGCTGCCAACAAAGGGCAGTAAGGATTGCAGAGCCGGGAGTTCTCCGCCCCAAGGGCATGGACTCTGAGCGAGGCACAAGCCAGGAAAGACTCCCGAAGGAGGGGAGAGCCCGAGGTCTCTGCAGGAGACCACAGTGTGGGAAGTGCCAGAGAGGAGGGGGCGGGGGATGGGCACTGGAGGCCAGAGCCTAGGTTCTGAGGCAGGACGGGGTGGTCTGCACCCCCTTCCACCCTGCCCGACCCTGCCCACCGCCCGGGACGCCGTCGCCGCCGCGGGGGCTGTGCGCGGTGGGTGGTCCCCGAGACGGAGCTGTCCAGTCTGTGCCTGACGCCTCTTTTCCCTCCACTCTCTTGGTCTCTTTCAGTTGGAGGAGGACAGACTCTCGGGGCACTCCCTCCCGCGGTACAGCCCCCTGCGACGACTGGCGTCCTCCGTATTCTCCTCCTCCACGCTGGAGACCGAGCATTACCCTCACCCCGGCGGCGGCGGCTCCTCGGGCTCCTCCGGTTCCCTCATTCAGCGCAGCCGCTCGGCGGAGAGCAGCCCCGTGCGGGCGCCCCACCGGCGCCACGCGCCTCTCGCCGCCGGCAACCACAGACTCGTGCCCTCGGTGCTCCGCATCTCGCGGTCCCAGCTGCAGCAGGTGTGGGCCCGCTTCACCCACAAGACCTAGGCTGGGCCCCCCCCCCCCTGGAGGGGGCAGGTGGGGGGGTGGGGAGTAGGCAGAGACCGCGGTTTCTTCCCAGGAGGCAATAATCACACACACACCCCGTCCACCCACCATGCAATACAGCCCCCATTACGTCGGCCCAAGGTACTGTAACACCCCCACTCCCATCCTCTCCCTTTGCTCTGTGCCAGCCGCGGGGCACAGGAGGGGGTGGTGCTGTCCGTGCAGCTTCAGGGACAGGACAGGGGCCCTTGGCTGGAGCCACCAGTGAGTCTAGCGTCCGGTGGATGTCAAGGTCAGGGAGCTGGGGCATGCTAGGCCAGAGTCAATATGAGTCTCGAGTGGGGGTTATTGGGTTTAATCTGTAATGTCTCGGCATGGCTGGGCCTGGTCCACCCCTGAGGGGTTGGCAGAACTGGGCCCCCCTCGGCGGGGTGTGAGTGCCTGTGTGTCTGTGTGGGGCGAGGTAGGAAACGGCCTGGCCAGCCAGGTTTGGGGTTTGGTGGGGAGTGCCTCTGTACTCCGTGATGTGCGGGGAGCAGCCCGGGACCCAGCCAGCCTTACTCAGGCCACTGTCACAGAGGACAGAGCCCTGCCTCTGCCGCCTCACAGCGGGAGGCTTGGAGCTCAGCCGTCTGTAGGCTGTCCCTTCCCCAGGCGCGTGTGCCGTCGCTCACTGGTAGGACTGGTTGCCCAGCCCAGCTCCTCAGGAGCTGAGGATGGATGAGTGCGAGCCTGGGGTCCGCCCCTCCAAGGGGCGGGAGGGAGCCTAGGGGTGAGGGGACCCAGTCTAGAAGCAGTGGCAGAGAAGGTGGTGGTTAAGAACGCGCTCAGGACAAACCTCACCACTGCCCCACCACTGCCGTCTGGGGGCGACTCCCTCCTGTAGGTGCTCAGCCAAGCCGGCTGGTCCCCAGGGGCTGTGGAGAAGAGTCAGAGCACAGGGGGAGGCAGATCAGACGGGGATTTGGTGTGGGGTTGGGCCGCCAGAGTGCTTTTCCCTTTCTGCCCATTTCTCAGCCCCTCCCCTGTCACTGCAGGGAACCCCAAGGTTCCCTCTCTCCATTCTTGCCCACGTCAGCCAACACCCCTCCCCCCACCAGGTAATGAGGCAGAGGTGAAGGGGGCACCAGGGAGGGCAGTGCCTGTGTAAGCGAGGAGGCAGGGAGAGGCCTGAAGGTCTGCAGACTGCATGGTGCGGTCGCCTGTGCCTGTGTGCCTGCCTCTGCATCTGTGAGTGTGAGCGTGCTTGCACGTGGGCGTTTGTGCAGGTGGCAGGGCTGCCTGGGTGGTTGCTTAGGCCATGCACTGCACAGTTCCGCGTCAGTGTGTATGAGTGTGCATGTGTGTGTGTTAGGGAGTCAGAAAGATACTGAGTAGTCCTTGATTGATAGGTTCCTATGTACCGACTTTCATCCTGGCTCCTCTCTCTACCCTCTTCTCCTCTTGACCTCTGCTTCCCTTGACCCGGCTCACCTCCCTTCAGTTCCCCAGCTATCTCTGGTTGGAGTAGAGGCCTCAGGGGCCTTATTCCAGCCTGGGGGGACCGTAAGTGGGTGGGCATCTCATTGATGGCCAGCACTGTGGTTTGTGGCTCCTCCACATGAGCTACGCACACACCCACCTAACTCCTTTCTCCATACCCCCCACCCAGAGGGTGTCCCAGGAGCACCTTCACCATCTAGGAATGAAATATGTCCCCACCGCACCCCGGTTCTGGAGGCTCACTTTGGACGGCCCCTCCCACCTGTTCTGAGTGGCCGAAAGTAGAGGAGGGGTCAGTATAGAACTTTCTCAAGAAGGAACAGAAAACACAAAGCACAAAACTGAGGGGGCGGGTGAATAGTAGCCCCACTTCCGCCTTCCGGCGCTGTCCCCCACCCTCTGGCCCCCTTCCCATCCTTCCCAGCTAGCGGCAGGGGGTGAAGTGAGCCGAGTCTGTCCGCCAGAAGCTCCAAAGTCGACAGCAGTGGGGGCCGGGGGCCCTGCCCTCTGGGGGTGGGTGAGACCAAGCATTCTCTGATCCAGCACTCCCTTCTAGAGGGTTCCACCACCTGACCCTGCATACAGCTCCCACTCAGTGACCAGACCCTGGGGTACTCTAAGATCCCAAGTGCCTTGTGACTTTTCAGAGATGATGGCACTACCACAGCCTTGTGTTGGCGTTAAATGCTTATTACTGTTTCCAAAGCCTTTGGGGGCAAGGACTCCATTCCGAAGGTGGCTGAGTTCTCTCTCTCTCTCTCTCTCTTTCTCTCTCACCAGAACTGATACCTGTGAGAGAGGTGTGTCCTTTAAATAAGATCACAATTAGAAACATTTTGTCCTCTGAGGGACACTCGTACATGCCTTCTCTGGTAGGGGAGAGAGTGTCTTATAAGCCATAAAGCTCTGAGCTAACTGGAGATGATCTTGATAATATTACTATCTTTGAGAGTGGCTTTGACTTTCAGAAATAGCTAAGGCTATTTGAAGCCACATGTGTTGGATCGAGTTCACGGGAAGCTTGGCAGAGCCCCGCCTGGTTTGGAGTTGAGTGGCCTGTCTCCAGGCCCGGGGCGGGCAGGGAAGTTGTGAGCCTTCCACGTTGTCAGGCTCTTTTTGTCTGAAGGTTTTCCCACAGAGGAGAGCTCAGCCCGGCTTTGGGAAAGCGCGCGGCCTCCCCGAGCCAGCTTTGGAAGGGCTGGCACCCTCTGTTGTGCTTCGAGAACGGTTTTCGTCCTGTATAGTCATACCCAGCATATGGGAGTGGCTTCCAATTATTTGTCTTTTATTTTATTTAACAGTCACTGGCATCCGGTGCTTATTATGTGCCAGGCAGCGTCTGAGCACTTTACAGATTAACTAATGTAACCCTCACGATAGTGCATGACTGATTTTTAAAACACGCCTGACTGTTTAGTCAGGGGCACTGACCCTTTTTCCCTCAGACTGTCAAATAAGAAAATGACAGCAGCCAACACAACAGTAGCTGCCTGGTGTGATGAGTCAAAATCATACCTATTTTGTTGTCAGATTGGCAAAAACATATATATTTTGGTGTGCTGCAGAATTTTATTAATTAGTTTATGTGTGGCACGAGATGAAAAAGGTTGAAAACTGCTGGCCTGTGCGGTAGATCCCAGTATCATCTGCATTTGATGGATGAATTAGAATATTTAATTTACAAAAAGTATTTTCGAAAACCCCTGCCAATGCCGAATAACAGGTCTGGTTTGGTGGGCGGTTTGAAGTTTTTTGGTCTGTGTGCTGGTCTGTTGCCATCCTGCCCGACTGGCCCCCGCCGCCCGTCTGGTGAGAAGGGCGTTGTCTGTGAGCCAGACTCGGATGCGGTCTGGGGGGGGGTCACTCCGAGTGCTGGTTGAAATGGCAGAGCCTGTCTCTCCGGAGACGTCACGCCGCAGCGTGCATCCCAGGGCAGCCCTGGGAATTCGGGGGCTGAGTAAGAGAGTAAGAGTCACAGTGAGAAAGCAGATGCTCAAAACCCTGACCTCAGGGGTGGGGGGGGGGGACCTGGGGTCAGGGCCGCAGACAGGGTGAATACCGACGCTGGTGAGACTTGGAGCTGAGTGTCACCAACTCCCTGGTCAAGATGGGAGTGTCAGGCAGTGGGCAGATTCCTGGGATGCGATAAACAGGCGAGCACCCCCCCCCCCCCCCACGCACCATCCTCTGCTCAGCCAATTGTTGCTGAAGTCTTCAATTTTTATGTGAAATCTCCCAATTTTTAATTATTGGCATCTATTTTTTTAAACCCAACTTTTTAAAGAAAAACCACTGTGTGAGCCAGACAAAACCGGTTTACAGGCAGAGACCCACACTCAGTTTGCAGCCTCTGTGAACCCGGGCACTGTCTGCCCCCCCCCCCAAGGCTGCAGCTGTTGAAGGGGGATGGTGTTCTCCCTCAAACCAGGTGGGCTTCTTAGAGGAGACAGCTCCCTGCCAGTAGAGACATGTAATATGTGCGGTACGTCTGTGTTGTTCTGTGTGCCTGAACGTGTGTGTGAGTGGGCCAGTGGACTTGTGTGTGGAGAGTGGGGCCCTCCTCATAGAAGCAGTACTTTCTCTATGGGACAGAGTCTGAGTCAGTAAGAAATGCTCTGGTAAATTCTCCATGATGAATGGATAGCCCCGCACACTCAAGGCAGCTTGGGCCGAAGCAATAACCACTCACCCCTCTCCCAGCCACTAGCATCCAGAACCCAGCGGCGTCCCTTTGCATTCCCAGTTTTGGGGAAAATGGGCCTAAAGCTACCCAGGTGGGAGAGGACGGCATCTCTGACCACGCTAGCACATTAACCCTTACTTCCCTGGGCTGGGGGGCAGGCCTCTCCACTCCCAGGACAAGCCAGGGGTCCTCTTTGTAGAGGGTCCCTGGACCCTCCTTGACTATTTTCCTCCTCTTCCCTGCCTAGGTCCCTTTTTCTGGGAGGGGTAGTGCTGCCTGCCAGGCAGTGGGGGAAGGGAGTCTGGGCTAGTGGGGTGAGCAGAAGGAGCTGTGCCAGTGCGTCTGTGCTGTGTGGCCAGGGGAGGGGGCCATGCTTAGGGTGGGGAGCATGGGGTGGGCGCTCCGGCTACAATTCCCACCCCCCCCGCCCCCTCCTTGGGCTGATCAGCGCCTGAGGGTGGAAGCATAGACCCCTAAGGAGAGCCTGAACCCCACTCCGCCTCCCCCAGATCCTAACCCAAAGGGCAGGAATCAGCCTACCCCAATGGCAGATCTTGGTATCAAGGAGTGTGGCAAATCTGTCTCAAGTTGGGGGCATGTCCCCAAAGTTCACACTATTCCCATTAGGAACAGAAGTGCCCCTGGGATTGGTGGGTCAGCCTCAGAAAATTTTAAATTATCCTTCTCCCTAAGGGAGAGGCTCCCAACCTGAGGACACATCCCTCAAATATCCCCAGAGGTTCCCCACACCACCCAGTGGGCTCCCCAGCCCAGGGAGGCCCTGAGCCAGACAGAGCGGCCTGTC